TTTTCTTTGCGTGTGGCCAGACCAGACCCTGGGGAAAATCAAAACTCAGCAGAAAGACCGTGTTGGCTGTAACTGAAGCTCTTGTTTCCACCCCACCCCCCCATCCATTGAGATCATGAGCCGTCGAGAACTGACCTGGGTTTTGGGGTACAAGTGACAGAGACGTTGTGTCATTGCCAGTCAACCTGCTTTACAGGAAACACAGGGAAACCACACAGGTTGTACTTCTGCTAAACCTTTGCTATGTTTCCTGTGCTGGTAAGACGCAGGGAGAGCTGTTCGTGTTCCAGGCACACTGATCACTGTACTACTGTTTAATACAAACATGTAACCACTGGTTTAACATCACTGGACTGGAATTACTGTACTGTGTAGCTGCACTGGTTTAACACCACTAGACTGGAATTACTGTACTGCCTGGTTTAACATCACTGGACTGTTCCATGAAGAGGTTAATTTGCTTTTTTTCTGTTGTTCTAATTAATTACTATTGGTTTCATTTGCAGAAAGGGACTGATGCAGATGGATGTGCTCTGTGTTCATCTGGTAATTCTGATGCTCTCTTTGTTTCTTTCTATGTCAATGTCACTGTGCTGTAGTGTCCAGTCAGTCAGGGTCACTGTGCTGTAGTGACCAGTCAGTCAGGGTCACTGTGCTGTAGTGTCCAGTCAGTCAGGGTCACTGTGCTGTAGTGTCCAGTCAGTCAGTCAGGGTCACTGTGCTGTAGTGTCCAGTCAGTCAGTCAGGGTCACTGTGCTGTAGTGTCCAGTCAGTGCTTGTGTTTATATCCATTATGTCTCTCTGTCTCTCCAGAGGTTCAGCTGGTGACCCGATCACCTTGCACTTCCACTCAGGACACGGAGTGTGTGTGCGCGGAGGGAGCGGTGTGTGTGTCCATCTCCGGGCGCTGTGAGGCCTGCGAGCTGTGGGCCCACTGTCCCCCAGGAACCTACACTGCGATCCCTGGTACTGAGGGGGACGGGACGGGAGGGGAGGGGAGCACAGGTGGAGAAGTGGGGTACAACGTGGGGGCGACAATACAGACTTGCCGAGATGACTACAGGCTGTCGGGACACACTTGGACACATCCATACAGACCCTAAATTTTGAGTCCTTGATTGTTAGCCATTCAAGTTAGACCGAAAAGCGCCTACAACTTTACAAACTGTGTGTTTCCAAACCTTGTCTTCAGAAATTGTGTGTTTGTCCATAATAATGGCAGACAAGTGGACGTCTGGTGCTTTCTCCAGATGATTTGATTGCAATTGACAACATATACACATGAACGTTCCTATATTATTGATTTCTCATTAGGCTGACCCATTGACATATTACAAAATATACGAGCACAGCGAATTGGATGGCCATCCGTGAATTTAAAGACCTTAAGAAGTTAATTCAGTTTTAAGCCTTTGCTGTATTTAAAACTGGCCTGTCTGCATTCAGTTTTTTTTCGCTGCTTACCCATAGAAGCTTTCAGCGCGTGTGTGCGCTCAGATTTCGATGCCAAATATTCGCTGGAAGAAGACGCGTGATTCCATTAAGCTGGACCTCGTTTCTCAGGGCGCTGTGTGTGTATTTTCATAGGCCGCAGAAGCAAAGCCCGGCTAGATTGAAGCTTAGGGGAATTTTTGCTTTTCAAGTTGCGCCTCCACAGGCCTGTAGAGCCAGCTTGCGCTGTCTCGCCCGAGCGTCTGCGTCTGGCCCTGCGCGATGCCCACGGGCGATGGGTACCATGGGTACCCCCCCACTGTCTTCAGCTTGGTGGGTGGCGCCAGGGGGATGGATGCATGACACTGACATTGCCCGTCCTTCTCTCTGTAGGGAACAACTACACGCACCCCGTGTGCAAGGCCTGTCCGAATGGGACATTCAACGAAAATGACTCTGTGACGGCGGTCTGCAGGAACCACACCGTGTAAGACACAATGTTCACAATGCTCTAATCAAGTCTCGCAGGCCGCATATATTAATCAATACTAGGCCTACCTTACCTGCGTGCATAATAGCTATTATAATATTATATTATAATATGTCACACCGCTTTATACCATATATATAATATATAATAGTAATATAATATTAATTCAGGTGGGGAGCTGCGTCAGCATGCGTAGGCTGCAAAGGAACAAGTAACAGGTTTATTCCATGCTGAAAAAAAAAGAAGAAAACACAGCGTTTCGGCTGTGGAGCCTTCTTCAGGTGTGAGGTAATATAGAAGAATATAGAAGGTGTGAGGTAGGATAGAAATTGCTATATTAATAGCAATATGGAATATTATAATAGCTATTACAGCAAAGTGCTTCTGAAGTTGCACAGCTGATGGAAGGACTTCCGTCCCAAACGTCCTGTTTCTGGTCCGACGTCTGGTTTGTAGGATCGAAATGTCTTTTTACAGGGTACGTTTTGCAGGCGGCGTGAATTTGACTACAAAGCCAACGGAAAGGCCGCCCATCTCTTATCAATCACGGCAGATTCGCTCCTCCCTTCTTCAAGTACTTTCCTGCCCTCATTGCGCTGGCTCTTTTTTCCTGTTTGCACACGTTTCATTGTCTGTATTTGTTTCCTTGACATTTTCTTCCTCTGGCCTCTTTTTCCACCCCTTACAGGAAACGTATCCGTTTTTCTTTCTTTTTTTTATAACAGACAAGCCGGCTACCAGGCCAGGCAGCCCTGCTGTGAGCGGGCTATTATTGAGATAAGATCAGATCAGGTCACTTTATTGTCCATATACAGTTTCTTTCATTAGGCAAGACCCCAGCTTGCTCTCCAGGAGACACACAGACAGGGAGAGAGAAGCTGGGGGTAAGAGTACAGGGTCGGCCATTTATACGGCGCCCCTGGAGCAGTTGGGGATCGGGGCCTTGCTGAGGGGCCCAACAGAGTAGGATTCCTCTGCCAGCCGCGGGATTTGAACTGGCAACCTTCCAGCCACAGGTACAGCTCCTCAGCCACAGTACCACCGCGTCTGTAACGCTCAGGCGTATGACAGGCGCGACGGCGAGGGCGATATGAACGTGTGTTCTAGTGACTAGCCTACGTGCAGCACGTCATTGAAGTTCAAAATTGATGAAAATTAATCTGATCACCTCCACATCTATTCAGAAACGGTTTTACTCTTAGTGGGGCTGTGAGTTTGACCCGTTTTTTATTTATTTCTTTTTCGAAAGAATCGAAACTGAAAACAAATGGAATTTATTCAAAAGGTTGAGAACCACTGCTCTAATCTCTTCTCCTTTGCCTCTCCCTCCTCTGGCTGTTTCTACATTTCTCAGGACAGCAGGACAGATCCTTCCTTTAGTCATTAGGAAGCGCAGGAAAAAACGCCTTTCTGCCTATCGCACTCATTTGCTTTCCACTAGTCGATTGATCCTTGAAAGATCTCGGGGGTCATGAGCCTGTATGACATAGTAGGGTATCTTGTTCCATACACCCACCACCCTTTGCGTAAAGACATACCTCCCTTTCCTTTGTCTTAATGCACTTTTCCTTAGTGTCTACTCTGCCTCATATTTTACTGTGAACCCCGAATGAACGACTACTCATTCCGGCTGCTGCCTGTGCTGTGACTACTGCGGCCGGTGTAACAGTTGCCTCTACTGCGCCTGCTGTTACCGATCATATTTCTTCCTTGTTTTCCAGCTGCTCAGAGTCTGGGAAAGTTCAGGCATTTCCAGGAACAGCTCTGCGAGACGCTGTCTGTAAAAACCCTGAAGTTGCAGGTAACCTCTCTCCTTTTCTCACCATTTCTCACTAGCATGTCCATCAGTGTTTACTGTAGGGTCAGTCAGGGTCACTGTGCTGTAGTGTCCAGTCAGTCAGTCAG